ACAACTTTGGACCACCTTCAAGCTGGTGGATTGTCGGCCACCGGGGGAAGCTGTAAGCCACTTAAAGTGGCCGGTCGACCACTTCCTATGGCCGATCGGCTACTTGCCTTGGCCAGTCGGCCACTTGCTTCTGCACACTCCAATTTTGCTGCAACCAGAGTACAAAAGGGGAAAAGCAAGACATTTGCAGGATATGTGTGTACAACCACCCTCCTTATCATTCTCAAGCTCAAAGGAGTATGGTACTCAACTCTCGGGCCACCAACCGAGCATCACAATGCACGATGGCCGAGAAGCCAAGTGTGTACAAGTCAATGAATGCACAAATAGACTCGATGAAACTTCCACCCTATCATGCACGATCAAGGGTGTCGGTGACTAAGAAATGAGGCACGTTTCATTACTTCAAGTATGAAACGCCTCTCATTTCTTGTGTTTGGATTAATGTCCGATCGAAACACATGCAATGCAACACAAACATGTTATCTTGGCATGTTTTACTTTGATTCATTTTGTTTACTCGTTTTAGATTACCAATTGATACTTTAACTGGTTAAGTCCAAAAGTGAGAAGTCCTCTTAATGGAAAGACGGACCAAGCCACCAGCTTCTTGAGCATGAAAGAAGCATCATGTCGTTGGTTAGTAGAAACCCTCAAGAGAAGGCTAAAACCATTAGGCATGAACGCCTCAATTTTGTGCTCAAACCAACAAAGGGCTTAAGACCACTTTCGAAAGTGATATAACAATGAAAGGTGGAATGCAATGGCACATATTCCAGCACTGAAATAGCATGCTAAATGACATCAAAGCATGAAAATGATGCATGCAAAGCATACTTTAAGTCGAAAGCATTGAAGCTAGCAACGAGCATAACACTAGAGCCATGCAATACATAGCACAAATGACCAAACCAACCCCGGACATAGGTTGAACATGCCAAAACAGAGGCCTAATCATGCTGAAATGGGAGCTCAAAATGCTAGAAGAACATGCACACATGTTGGCCTATGAGCAAGGCATGATACACAACCCTCAAAAGTTATGAAGAAATGAAGTGTATGAGAGTGTGACTACACTATATACATTGAAATTACATGCCAAATGGTGCCATACCATGCAAACATCACATGCACAACTTGTTAAGGCCCCAAAACTCAAAGCTAGTCAAGGCCCTTTACACTACAACCATATTAAGCAATGCTCAAATGACCTTAACCATTCAAAACAAATCTAAGGCAGGTCAAAATAGTGGCAAAAACATGCTAGACTTGTAGCATAGATGGCAAGAAAAATAAGCTCATGTATTGGCTCACAAACAAAGCATAATGCTCAACTTTTCAAAAGTATTGAAAGAGTGATTTAAGTAGAAGTATGGCAAAGATATAAGCTATGAAATTACCTACCAAATGATGCCATATCATGCACACATCACAAATATAGCATGCTAAGGGCCTTAAAACTCAAGACTAGTGAAGCCAATTACACTACAGCCTGACAAGGCAAGCCATACATGACCAAGGGCACTTAGAACAGAGTTTAAGAATGCTAAATCAAGGTCAAAAGCATGCTTAAATAGAGCTAAAACAAGCTAGAACAATAGGCCAAAACACCAAGTATGCTAGGCTAGTGAGTGAGATTGTACTACAAGTGAAAAAACCAAGCAAGGGATGACCCAACCAATCAAAATCAGAGCTAAAGCATGTTAAATAATGGCCAAAAACATGCTGGAGTAGAGCTAATACATGCTAGAATTATGGGCTAAGGTAGCAAGCATGCAAGGCTAACAAGTAGGATTACACTATAAGTGCAAAGAGTAAGCAACCAATGATCAAACAAGCCAAAAACAGAGTTATGCCAGGTCTAAAAAGTCACAAACATATGCTTGAACAAAGCCACAAAGAAGTAGAAACACATGCTCATTTGATAGGCCAACAACACAAGCAAGTAAGACAAGAGAAGAGGGGACCACCCCCTCCCATTTTGGACCTCAAAACCACCTTTCCACCACTGAAATTCCTCTGGAATTCAGTGGTTTAAAGGCCAAGAAAAGATGGTTTCAAAAGCTTAGGAAGTTTGCTCAAAAAGCTTTACAAGCCAAAGAGCAAAGGGAGAGACAACCCCCTAACACAAAAAGGGCTTAAACTACCATTTTTAGGACTAAAAAATAGAGTTTTTTTCAGTTCAACACCACCCCAAAAAACAGCCCCAAAGTAGTTGAAAACTATGGTAAAGCAAGCATGCAATATAAGCTAAAAATGAGAGAGTTCTTACCCTTGAAACATAGCTGCAAAACAGGTCCAATTCTGAGCTAGAACCACTTTTTGGAGCTCAAACAAGGCTCCAAGGAATCTTATCCCAATGGTGATCAACTTTGGTTAAGAGTCTATTTGCAAAAGTGTAGAAAATTCTAAGCTTAGGGCTCAAAAACAAGAGGAAAATGAGAGAATTCTAAAGAGAGAGAGTTTTCAGCTCTAAAATTTCTAGAGAGAGAGGACTTTTAGTGTGAGAATCTCCCACAATTGTTTCTCTTTTCAATATATGAGAATGGCTCAATATATAGCAATATATGAGCATTTGGTCGAAATATCTGCAAAATAGGCAGCTGGAGCATTTGGAAGACAGCTGGAGCAAAATATCTGCAAAATCTGGGCTTTCTAGGCACAAGTGGCTGACAAGAACCATTTTGGACGACATGTGGCCGACAAAGGCCATTGGTGGCCGACACACTCCCCTAGTGGCCGACAGCAAAAATCAGTCTTGGTCCCCGACTTAAAGCAAGCCTAACTCCTTCATCTAAATGCCTTTTCAGGTCATTCTTGTGTCCAAATTGAAGCCCCAGAAGTAGTCTTTCCAATGGTGGTAGCTTCATATCAAAATTCCAACTATGCTAAAAGATATCCCTCTTTTAGTGAAGACTGCTCAGTTTCGGTCCAACCAGATTGATGCAACCAGCCATATCTCCCTTATCCGGACTCGGTTTTAGGAGATTCTCGAGTGAAAAATGAAGCCTCAAAAGTCTTCTTTCCAACGGTGGTGGCCTCATATCTGAAATCCAAATGTACAAAAGGATAGGCCTGATTTACCGAAGGCTGCCCGGCTCTCTCTTAACGATTCATGTCCAACTCCTTCCCCAACTGGGATTCTTCCCTCTCCTCTTCTTTTCTTCAAATCCAAACCTCTAAACAAGGTGTTTTGAAAGTTTTTTTCAAAGATTTCATCTCTCTTTCATTCATTTCCACTTTGTCCTTGCTCGGTTTACCGAAAGGCGCAACATTTAACGAAATGCGAGCGTCGGAACATCGTAGGAACTTTATTTCAAAAATATTTTGAAAGAGAGGATTTTAAGGTTTAAAAACCATTCAAAATAGCTTTAGTCCAAAATGGGGTGTGAGGTTAGGATTTCACTCTCCTCTTGTCGAAGAAATCGAACCTTTGCAACTGCGCAACTTTCACTACCCAGTAAGCGATTAGCGGCGCCCAAGTCTTAAAGACGGTAAAAAATAGGGTGTCTACAGATGCAGAAGCGGATCCGGCTGAGCTTGCCACTAGATGGTTGGCATTTTCGAGTTTGATTAGACAATCCTTCATCACATGATCGGTTTTTCCACACCTGAAGCAGGCACCTGAAGCTCGATAGCAAACCCCTTTGTGTTTTCTACCACACTCTGAGCAAGTTGGTATAGTACCACTACTTTGACTTGAGCTACTGTAAGATCCTGTATTTTGCTTTTTATTCCCAATAAATGAACGACTCTTTTTGAAATTACTTCCAGACCTTTTTCCCATCCAATCAATTCGTGGGACGAGAGTTTGTTTATTTGCTGCCAAAATAGCTTCCGCCATTAATGCCCTGTCCAACACGTTCACATATGTAGGTAGATTCAAAACTCCCACTCGATTCAGTATATCTAAAACCAGCCCACCCTCAAATCTGCGAGCCTTCTTGTAGTCCATGTCCACCATATAAGGAGCAAACCTGGCTAATTCAGTAAACTTAGCCTCATACTCAGCTACAGACATTCTGCCTTATTTGAGTTCCTGAAATTCTGAAACCTTCCGGTTTCGAAAGCACTGAGGAAAGTACTTGTCATAGAAAATTGTATTAAATTGGGTCCATGTCATGTTCTCATTGCCATTCCGAACTAGCAACCACCATCTCCGAGCTTCGTCCTTCAAAGTGTAGGTGGCCAATAAGACTTTCTAAACTTCGGAACAGGGAAATATTTCGAATAATTTTTCCATCTCCAGTAGCCAAGTTTCTACCTTTAGCGGTTCAATGCCACCCAAGAAAGTTGGCGGCTTCATCTTCATAAATTTTTGAGTCGTGTTGATTATGTCGTTATTGCCCGCTTCAACTTAAGCTAGCGAGGGCAGGGGTGGAGGTGGTAAAGGTTATTGCCTCTGTTGTTGCATTACTACTTTAGTTAAAGCTGTAAGCATTTGTTCCATTCTGTTCATTCAGGCATCTGAGGACCCTACTGTATCATCACTTCTTGCATTGTTCATTTACTATAGGTAAACAAAACTTTATAAACATAGGCAAATAGTCCTTGTTACTTCATTCAGATTCACATGATCATATTTGGATTTATGCTTTCACTTTCAAACAAACACATTTAGACATGTAGATGGAATGCCCCTACTTCTTACTAGGACATCCTAAGCTTATATAGACTCGTGTGTGCGGTATAACTCGTTCTCTAATACCACTCTGCCACGACCCAAACCCACCCCTATAGGTTTGACATCGTAACCGGCCAGTAATCTTTAGATTACCAAAGGCCTCTTGGCATAATAACATATAGCAGGGGCTGCGAAAGCAGATATTCAAGACATACATAGTTCATAGAGCTGTGCAGACATACATGGATCAGATAACTTAAAACTTTTTATAACAGAGATGCAAACTTTACTCATCATTTCCAAATATACATTATCAGACATCTTGTCCAAACACAACATAGTATAAACATAAATTAAAGTGATTACAAAAACAACCATGAAACTTGACTTCAATCGAAACCTCCTCGGGAGGCACAAAGGTTGGCTGACAAAACTAAAACTTAGGTCGTCAACTCTGGGCCTGGTCGCGTGCCTGCTCACCTACATACATAATATAAATAGTGAATGATCGCTGTAGACGTCCCCCGAACGCCCCGGGAGGGTTAGCTCCCGTTCTGTTCATTAGGGGTCACTACAGCTCGGACTCTTGAATGTCACGGTTCCTAATCTGAACCAAAGAGTCCAAATCCGGCAAATCATTTTGAGAAACTGATTTTTGAAAAAGTAGTGCCAAACATGGACTGCTTTGCCAGATACAGAGTCGCCACCTTGAAGAGGGACCAAAAATATGAATATTTATAGTTTATGTCAGCCTTAAAATCAGTATACAAACATGCTAAAAGTGTGATGCAAAATTAGGCTCAAAAGTGGCTACAACATGAAGTATACAAAATAATCACCAAACAGCCAAAGACCCTTAATAAAACATGTATAATGGACCAAAATAAGGACTTTTCCAGAACTGTAAAATGGCCAAAAACAAAAGCATGGTACGCTAACTAAACATGCAAGAATGGGGAATAAAAGAGGGATATAACATGAAGTGACCTATGGAGGTCTCAAAACATGAAAGGACCTAAATGAAAAATTAAGTATGGACCAAAATAAGCACTTTTTCAGAACTGTAAAATGGCCAAAAACAAAAGCATGGTAGGCTGCCATTGCATGCAAGAATGGGGAAGAAAAGAGGAGTATAAAGGTAGGTACAACATGGAAACCCCAAATGGTGTTGAGCCCTTCTTCAATGTTGAAGAGGGGCTCAAAATAAGCCTAATATCAGTTTACAACATGCTCTAAAATAAATTTCTCATGGGCCAAAAATAGCATGCAAGATTGTGACATATAAGAGGATCAATGAAGCAAGTGTGTCATGGAGGGCTCAAACAGGGTTGAGCCCTTAATGAAAAGTGAAGATGAGCTCAAAAGAGGGCCCTTTTCAGTTAGGGCCGGAGCTTGAAACAAAAATCAAGTGGGGCTTAGAAATAGATCAAGAAAAAGGGTCAAAAGGGTAAAAGTATTACTTACCCTTGAAGACTCAAACTTTTGTTGCTTCTTGGATGAATTTGCAGCTTCTTTGGCCTTTGAGAAACCTTCCTTGTTGCTGGAAATGAGGTGGTGGTGGTAGAGCTTGGTGGTGTAGAAGGAATGATGGTTAGGGACTTAGGGTTTTTCAAAGAATTGAGAAGGATGAAGATGGAGTTGTGTATGGAGGCTTGAAGGAGAGTTTTTCTAACCCCAAAATACTACAAGGCTTGCTTGCTATATAGGCCAACAAGGGGGTGTAAAGGTGGGGGAAAAGGAGAGCAATATTCCCCCACGAAATATCCCCCAGATAAAGATCTTGTCTGGGGGAAACAGCTCCACAGCGGTAAAGTGTACAGTGCAAGAAAGCAGGCCGGCCTGGTACTTTTGTTGCAGGTGGCCGGCCGGCCACACCCCCTAGCCGGGCGGCTAGGGGTCAAAAGGTTCAATGAGATTTTCTGGCCGGCCACCAACTGGTGGTGTTCTCCTATGTGTGTACAACACAACCATGTGGTTAAAATTCCAAGAAAGTGGGTCCAAGGGGTTCAACATTGGCCCGGAAAGAGGGGTTCAAAAGGGTCAAGTTGAATTACTGGCCGGCCATGAACTTTTAGGGTCCTCTCATGTGTGTACATCACAAATATGTGGTTCAAAGTTCAAGAAAAAAGGTCCAAGGTGTTCAACATTACCCCGGAAGTGCGAAAAACGGGCGCCGGAGGGCGTCGGAGGATGTATAACTGGTTACTGCAATAATTGCTGGCCTCTCACCCTTCAGTGACCTCCCCGGTGATAAAACAGAGGTACCTGCCAAAAATAAACGAAAATCGTTGCAAAACGAAAGCTCGAGGACCAAAACACGCAGTTCGGGGTCCCGAAAATGGGCTGTTAAGCACCGAAAGTGGCATTCGGCCACGAAGTGGGATTCTCAGCCCCCAGTGTCCCTAAAAAGGGATCAAATAGGAAGTATACCAAAAATTAAAGCAATAGGAGATGGTTAAGCGGTCCCGAACCGAGGCACACGGCCTGACGGCTCCGAAAACCAGGAACCAGACTCCGAAACGGGTAAAATGGCCTACGGCCACAAAATGTAGCCTACGGCCACTGAGAGATGGTCTACGGGACCTCTCCCTCCCCTCAGGAAAAGAAACAGAGAAAACCGAGTTTGGTTCGCAAACTGAGACAAGGCACAAAAGAGGGTTCGGAAGTCCGGAGGCAGGGCTCATGGCCGTGACTCTGAAACTTCTGAACAAGCACATTATGCAACATCACCAAGCGCTCAATCGGTGACGTCTGAGTCTTAAGGTCGGTCAAAAATGGGGTGTCTACAATCGCCCAGTGAATAATAACAGAGTAAAGATTTTACTGAATAATGTGCACACAGAAACAAAATCTTGTACTTGTTCGGATGTCATAACATAGTAGATTCATTGGCATGATTGCATTTGTATTCAGAACTTAAACATACAACATGTCATGGTACGTGGCATATCCATTAGTATTAATAAATCCGATAACCCACAAGGGACTGCCATGAAGGCTTTCTGATGACTCATGTGCACAAAGACGTTTTCGATGACCCATAAAGGGATCTGATGACCCATAAAGGGACCTGATGACCCGTAAAGGGACCTGATGACCTATAAAGGGACGCATATCATATGATGTTAGTGATGCCACGAATAACTTTTAGAATTTTGGACAATCATTCATTCCTTTCAAACATAGCATAACATTTCAAAAACTAGTCATTTCATATCATAATGTTCAGAAAATATTTAACATTGAACATAACTTTACAAAGTTATTACTCACAAATAACTGGTAGCTCCGAATAGACGGTGAAGTGGGCGATTCACTTATCTTGGGGCGCGTGACCTACATAACATGATAGATACATACGTTGAATACAGACGCTTGGTTTGAACATAACTTATTTCGTTGTTCTTAGTGTGTCTCTAGCCTTTAACCTCATTATGGAGTCTTAAACATGGCCTAGGAATGCCTAGGATGGAATGAGGATACACAAATGTACTTGAAACACTTAGCCAAAATTTTGCTGAAACAGGGGTCTCGCTCGAGCGTGGTTTTCTTCGCTCGAGCGGACATGCCAAATGTGAGTGGTCACTCAAGCATGGACTCCTTTGTTCGAGCGGTCTGTAAAATGTGAAAAAGTTCTGGTTGCATGAAATATCCGCTTGACGCTCGCTTGACGCTCGCTCGAGCGTGAGACACAGTTCCTTGCGTCTAAACACGCAAATTCTTGAGAGCTTGCAATTTACGCTCGAGCCAGCCTTTTGTCGCTCCAGCGGGAATATGATAATAAGGCGGTCGCTCGAGCGTAGAGTTCTTCGCTCGAGCGTGGAAGCAAAATTCTGGGTTTTCCAGATTTGCTCCCAAGCTTCAAAACATGAATCTAACACCTCAAAACTCATCCTCTTGGGCCAAAATTCTGGAAAATATTCAGAAACTCACAAAGCATCATGGTTTAAGATCATTTCATGATATCAAGGCTCAAAAGTATGCCAATTGAACAAAATTCCAACATAAACTTTATGAATGTTTCAAGAACACAACATGCATGAGTTTTCTTGAACTCAACCTCTTCAAAACATGATCAAACTTGGCAATTGGATAGAAAACATGATGAATAACCAAAATGTAAGTAAGATGAACACATGCATGAAAGAATTCTTTGAAAACATGCTCAATTTGTGAAGAAATGAACATGCATGCATAGTATGGCCCAAATCTTCCCAATTCTAATGCAATTCCTACATGGATTCACTTAATTCACTAATAATCTTGTAGAATCTAATTCAATTGCTCAATTAAGGGTTTAATTCCTTACCTAGAGGCTTGAATCTACAAGAGTTGAAGTTGAAACCCTCTAATCTTCTTCACTTTGACAACAATTCTAGCAATCCTTGGTTTTGAATTCAAATTCTCAAGTCTTGGACCAATTCTCTCTTCTCTCCCTCACTCTCACGTTTGTACCATCAAAGGAATGAATTGGGAGTGTTTGGTGCTCAAAGAAGTCCACTAATACTTTAATTAGATTTGGACAAAAGTGTAATTAATTTAAAGCCAAATAAAAGGACATTAATTTAAACTAATTTAATCGTTCCAAATCGACTTTTAATTGAACTTACCATAAAATCCTATAAATCCTAATTAACACATAAATCAAGTCAATTTCTGAGTCGGATGGCGATAAGACTTTCAATTCGCAAATCAAAGCTAAAACATGAACAGATCTTTCTATTTCAAACAGATATAAACACAAAATGGTGCAATGTACATATAATTGACTCGGGATTTCTTCTTAATTACTTATTTGGCATACTTAAACATGGATTAGTGTTAATCACGGGTCAGGGTTGTTACGCAGTTGCACTCTACAACAATGCAAATCACTCAGCATTTTACAAGTGTATTTTTATGGGTTACTAAGACACCCTATTGGCAAAAACAAAAATTTATAGTTTTACAATAACTGTGAAATTTTAGGCACTGTGGATTTCATTGTTGGTTACGCCTCAGCCGTGTTTCAAGATTGTGGCATCTACGTTCGTCGACTCTCACCTCCTAATGTGATCACCGCTAACGATGGGAAACCCGATCCAACATCTACCAATTTTGGATTTTCATTCCAAAATTGCACAATCGACGTTGCACCGGAACTTAGGTCACGTAAAAAGGAAGTGAAGGCTTTACTAGGGCAGCCATGGAAACATTATGCCACAGTAGTGTTCATGGAATCATATTTGGATGAAATCGTGCTACCGGAGGAATGGACATTATGTTGTAAGAACACGATTATGATGTTCGCGGAGTACAATAACCGAGGCCCTGGGGCAAATACTAATAGAAGGGCAAAATTGCCAAGTTATAAGGTCTTCAAAAGTGCAGCTGAAGTTACCTCTTTTACAGTGTCTAATTAGCTCATTGATGGAGATTCATGGATCCCTCAAACTGGCATATCCTATAGGGATGGTTTAATTAGTGTGTGAAATGGAATTTAATAGTTAAATGTTATTTTAGCGGGTAGTTTGTTTTGAAATAATACTTTTAATTGCAGTTGCATTATTCTATCACTCCGTATATAAATTTTGTGAATCATGAAAGCTTTCTTTGCCAAACACAATGGTGAAATTAGTAATCTCGAAATACTATGAAATATTGTCTATATAGTACTTAAGACATAATGAAAAATTCTGTTATCAGGATAATATTTGATTGACTTTGTTAAGTGGTTGTGAGACAAAAAGATTCAATAGAAGATAAATGAGAGTAGAATAGAGATGAAAGGGAATGAACTATAACAAAGTAAATTACATTGACATCCCAAAGAATTGAAAAAAATAAAATAAGTTTTACAATTTTTATATAATTTTATTGATTTTTATTTTTATTTTTAGTAAGGCTAATGAAATTAAAACTATCGCAAGTAATGTGAAAACATAAAGACAAATAAGATAAAATATGCATTTTAACATAAAAGTGATGACAAAATTATTTTTTATTTATATGACTAACCAATTATTGATAAATAAATAAAAATTGATTAAGCATTATGTGAATTAAAATTTTAAGAGAATCTAATATAATTATGCTAAAATTATAAAACTTATTATAGGTTTTTTTTAAACTTAAGGATCACTAATGTAATTTAGGGGGTGTTTGGCATCCAAAAAAAAAATTCAAAATTATATCAAATTTATTTACTTTTCAAATTCATATTACATAGACAAATACACATAGATACAAAAATATATATATTAAAAAAATCCCAAACTTTTTTAATCGGAGATTGAAATAAATAAATAAAAAGTCAACAAAAAAGTGGGAGAGCCAACTGCTCTTGTTTTTTTCTTCTTACTTAAGAAAAAAAAACAAACAAACAAACAAACAAAACAAAACAAACTTCGCCGGTTTGTTTTGATTGAGTAGAATTTAAAAGTGTAAAAAAATTACAATATTTAAAAAAAATATTAAAGATGATAAAAATAACAAAAAAAAGCTATTAAAAAAGTTATTAATGGGTTAAAACTTAAAATAGTTCATCTCAAGTTAAAATAATTAATAAAATAAAATATCACATTTCATATTTTTTATTTTTTTTTATAAAAAATCAAATAATCAATTAAAATAACTTATTACAACAGGGCTAATAATAATTGGGTTGGGCCATGCCGGACTGATTGCAATGATAGTAATTATCAGCCCATTTACCTACTTAACTGTCATACACCTACGCCACGCACTCTCAGACCAGTCTTTTATTGTTTGATCACTGAGAAAATAACTCACGATAAAAAAAATTCCCGGAAAATGCAGAATCAGGACGACTTTCGTAATCTCCCCATAGACATTGCTTTAGCTCGTCTCGGAGGTAAAACAAACTATCTCTCTCTCTCTTTCATATAGAATCTTCAGGCAGGACTTTGTGAATTTGTATAATTTGATTTTTATTTATTTATTTATTTTTGGATGTGTTGTAACTAGATGTACTTAAAAAGTAAACTATTTTATCAAAAAAATCTATAATAAATTGAGAGCTAAGATATCGGCGGCGTTTTCGTCGCTGCCGAAGGATATCGATCCTTACTTCCAAACCCTAGACCCCGAAGGTTGGTTTATTTGTTTTAAATTTATTATTATCTCATAAGATAAGATTTTTGTAAGATTAATTGCAAATTTATCATTTTTATTACCTTTTTGTACATAGGTCTCTGTTATTTATCAAGAATTATATATATATATATATATATATGTTCTATCATATGAAGTATACAACCCAGTGAAGATTTGTCACAGCTTCATTCCCAAATTGTCCTAAAAATGTCTCACTTTTTTATTTGAAGTTTCAAATTTTAAAATTTTTATAAATTCTTGAGTTTTCTTTTTATCTTCATCTACATTTCTTTTTTGGGTCAATTAGTAAAAGATCCAATCGATATCCATAGCACACTTAGTTTGGAATTATCGGTGCCTATTGCACTCGCAACAAAATTAGGGCATGCATTGGGTAGTGGATGTCATGTTAGTAGATTACACTTGCAAGTAAAACTAAAGAAAAATTGTAAAACTAAATCAACTGGAATACACATAGCTTAGGTCACAAAAAATTCCATATGATAAATCAAAGAATAGAAAAAGGAAACTAATTTAGATAATCTATACAAAGATACATTGGTGGTGCTTATAGCTTATAGCTTATTTTGATTTGGGAGTTTGTGCCAAACTATTTGTTGCAGCTTCTGCTTACAACTTATTAGTCAAAAATAGCTTTAAAAAGCTGAAAAAAGATGATTATCTGAAAGCTAGGGGAGAGGTGTTTTTTGATTATCAACTTTTAGCGTACAATAAGTTATACCAAAGAGGCCCATTGAAAGGTGACAAAAAAAACTAACAAGTGGGGCAATCAATGTTAGTTATGCCTTCCAAGTGTTGTGTCAATACGCATCCAGGTTGCTAATTGGTTAGAAAATAAATATCTTACACGTTGTAGCGGAGATGGTTTGGTCTTTTTGTGTTGTGGTTTATTGGCTGTTGAAGTTTTGAAGGATAAAGGGTGCTCAGAAGATGACTGATATTGTTAAAAACATATGTATATATATATACATATATATATATATGAAAGTTCATTAACTGGTGAAATGGCTTATTTTAGACAGTTAGAATAAGGACATAGTGCTGATCATGGTTTGTTTACTGACCCCATTCTATTGGCTGTTGAAGTTTTGAAGGATAAAGGGTGCTCAGAAGATGACTGATATTGTTAAAAACATATATATATATATATATATACATATATATATATGAAAGTTCATTAACTGGTGAAATGGCTTACTTTAGACAGTTAGAATAAGGACATAGCGCTGATCATGGTCTGTTTACTGACCCCATTGTAATAGAAATATAGTCAATGCAATAACTGGTCATATTTTTTGGTTATTGTTTTTTTTTGTTTGTTTTAAATTTATGTTATTAGCAATCAATTTCATGCATCAAGATTGTTATGGATGTGGAAATAATGGCATACATGGCAACGGAGATTCTGGATTTTTTTTTTTTTTTTTGTCAATGCTTAATTTTTCTCAATGAAATATTAGAGTATTTACAATGAATGATCATGCTTTTACATTGCTTTATAAAGTTTATAGTTGATATTAGTTGTGGAGTTGCCCTGAGATGTATTTTCTGTGTGGATACATTGAGTTTAGGAAATTTATTAGTAGTTAAGATGTGGTAGCTTATTAATTTGTTGCACTGAAACTCAAGGAATTATACTCAGCAGTGTTGATTTTTTCTTTTTTTAGGTGTTATATGTTAATTCACATTCTCTTTCCAGGGATTGGTTACTTGGAAGCCAAACAAATATATGGTATTCTTCTGAAGTTAACTCCAGAAAGCCGTAATATTTTTGGCCGGCTTTCAGGTGCTGCTGTAAGATCTACAAAAACTATCCTCTCTCTCTCTCTCTCTCTCTGTGCCCCCTCCCCTGACGTACCATTTTTTCTACATATAATTCTTATTTAAATTTTAACCTTTGGCAGGGTGTTTGGGAGTCAATCGTGCAATCTTTTGAGAAAGACCATATTTACCTTGGTGAGGCTGCTCAGATAATGGTCCAGAATGTTAATTATGAAATGTGAGTGCTCTCGTGATTGTCTACTAGGTTAATGATAAATAATGATTTTTGCTTGATGTTAGTGCGGCTTAAATTATTGATCAATTGTATTTCATATTTGAAGACCATATCAGAAAAAGCAGGTCCAAAGGACTCAACAGCAACTGGCTGAACTAGAGCGCAAGGAAGCTGATATTAAAAGAAATGCAGCTCTTTCAGCAGCTAAATTTGCAGAGGCTTGTCAAGAGCTAGGATTGCAGGTATGATCCTGCATCGCATGCCACTCTACTGATGGTCATCAAGTTTGTATGATGTATATTCCTTCAAGAACGAACAAATTAAGTGTCAACTTTTGCTTTGCAGGGAATAAATGTGAGGTCGGAACTGTTAGAAACTGCAAAGAAATCTCTCCCAAGCACATTTAAGAGGATTCTGGAAGTCTCAAGTGGTGATTCTGTGTCACGGGCAATTGAGTTTTATTCAAATTTTGTCAGAGATGTGCATACGGAAAATGATGTAAGAAAATTATTAAATATATGTTTGTCATGATTGTTGCTAGATGTTTACTGCTGTCACCTAATTGTCTTTGTTCAGTTGGTTTGTTTTAATTGTCTCTAGATGTGTCCTGGTTAAGTATAATGGTCTTTGTTAGTGGGCAGACAGATGGAACTGGGGATTATTGTGTAGGATGCCATCAATAACTGCGGTTGCTTGGTGTGATTGCAGAAAACTTCCGGGACTGTGTTACCAAATCTAAGGGACATTATTGAAAACCCGCCCTCTCTGAATGTTTCTGTGGGCTCTGAAGTTCTTGATACTGTGAATGTTGATGCCCGCCTTGATGAATCAAACTATGTAACTGGGGAGATGGGAGTTGTAGCTGATATTATTGACTGGGATATTACTGTCGACAACTCTCAGATAGATTGGGATATTGGTACTGTGGAAGAAACAGAAGATACTGGAAATGGATTGGGTCCTTATGAGATTGTGAATGCCAATGAGTTTTTACAAAATTCTCCATTGAATGATGATGGTGTGGAATCTGATGAGACCTTGTTAAATAAGAAGGAAGATGTTGTGGTCCCAGAGGTCTCTGTGTCAGAGATTTCTTGGGATATTAGTGTTGAGAATCCTCAAGTTCATGTGATTGAAGATACAGGCTTGTCAAATGCAGTCTTGGAGTCTCATACATCTATTCCAAATATTGTAACTGAAACCCAAGAAATCGCCCAACAGAGAAGCCAGCTTTTGGAGACGGAGTACAGGAATAAGATTCTTGATGACCTATTTGAGGTATGTGCTTATTTGTCATTTTGATTAATTAGGTACTGATGGAAATATTTTATTTTTTTTTTTTTCTTCCAAACATTCATTGTTGGTTAATACATTCGGTTGTATTCATGTGTAAAAGGGCACGAGAATGTAACAACACAATCCTTTGTGAACTTAATATTTTTGTTCGACTTTTGGTTATGATATCAAAGCATTTTGACATCAATTGATATTTGGCACCAGATTAAAGCATTCTTGAATCAGTGGTTGACGGAGTTGACAAATAACGAAACTCTGTCCTTGCAACATCAAGTCCAGGCAGTTGCTCCTTTAGTGTTGCAGCAGTACTCTTCTGATACAATTCAGAAGATGTTGTCTGATGTTTCTTTGGCCATCTCCTCACTGACAAATAGAAAAACCAGGGATCAGATCATGATTCTCAACTCAAAAAGGTGCAGCATTCTTGTTTTTCAACAAGCTTTATACCTTGTCCATTTCCTTCACCGTCAAATTTCTTCTCCCCCACTTACTGTTTACGACACCAATCTGTATTGAGAATTCACAAATGACAATTATATTATATTTACATGACTTTTCTTTTGGTATTTGACTGATGCATATTTTGTGCGATCCCAATAAGTCTTTGCATTCTTGGTTGTTGTTAGGAATCAACTGTTTATTGTTATGACCGATTCAGAAGTTTTCTGTCCTGATCTTGATGGTTTTTGCCCAGTAACTGCAGTTTGCTTGATTATCCCTCTCCCTCCAGTCGTGCACATTACTAGTATTTTGGTTTCATGATGCCATGCTTATTATTCCTAATGAGTTGTGACAATATCAAGTATTGACTGTAGTGTGCATCTAATTTTCAGATTTCTCGATAGACTAGTGAGTACACTAGAGGAAAAGAAACACCACCAAGTGAAGTTGAAGGAGGGGTTGAAGGACTTGTCTGCCAAACGGATGGAGCTGCAGAATTCATTGACATCATTGTGGCCAAAGCAGGTGAGTTCATTCTTTTGTTGCTTAATTTAAGACACGGTGCTTGTGCTTTCAGGTTAAACAATTATGCCCATAATTGGGTGTTCACTGCAAGAACTGTATCTTTGCCACGTGAAATGTGATAATACATATTTTAAAATTTTGTATCTCATATAAAGTGGAGGAATCTTGCCAGACATTGCAGTACCCATCATACAACTTTTTTAATGAATCTGCAGCTCTACTAATTCTGACTTGTTTTTATTGTCACTTCTACATTCTACAAATGGAACTTGTGTGTGTTAGCTCATCCATCAATTCATTTTTGCCAATTTTCGAACTCATTGGTTATTTGATCTCATTTAAAAGATGTATATGCTTATGTTCAACATTTTCAGTTCTATTGCTTATGATTAGGAATGAGAATTAAGTAGCTAGCAAAAAGTCCTCCCCTCCTGTCATTTGGCAGTTGAAAATTTAATTGTTTTTGCGTATCAATTTGCAGGAAGCGGCTCTGGCCAAAACCAGGGAGTTGAAAAAGCTTTGTGAGAGTACACTGTCATCCATGTTCGATGGAAGACCTGTCCATATAATTGGAGAGATCAATTCCTTGTTGAGCACTAGTCTCAGCTCATAAATCGTTGTCATTACTCAGAATTTGTTTTTTGTTTCTTGTTACATATTCAGTGATTAACATGTTCCCTTTGTCAATCAAATGCTGATCGTGTTCCCAATAACAATCTGCAGTTCCTTACCTTGGAAATTTTACATTACCCTCCGTCCCATCTTATATATTGAAATTACAGCATTTTTTAGTAGCTTAACTTCCATTTAGCAATCATGTTTGTCAATACAATTTCCCTGTGGCTCCAACTTCTTCAGAACTCTGATGGTTCGCCCTAATATTAGTTTTTGTTATTATAGCTTTGGGAGGTTCTATTTACACATTATGAATACCATTTAACTATTAAATTTATATAATAATAATGTCTTCAAGTAAAATGATTATTGATGACAATATGAATGTATTTATATTTATTCAAGTAATTCACACATGAAAACAAAAATCTCTCTTTACACACTATTAAATTTATATGATAATAATATCTTCAAGTAAATGACTATTGATGATAATATGGGTGTATTTGTATTTATTCAAGTAATACGCATATGAAAACAAAAATCTCTCTTTTGGAACAAATCTCTTTTTCAATACCGTTCATCTTCACTATTATAATTTAATACATTACACTCATAATCTTCACTAGTATAATTTAACACACTACACTAATCGTCTTCCCATTAGAATCTTCACAATTATTGAAGATTTAGGGTTTTAAGAACATTAAAATTAATTGATTTTTGAGATTTGCACACAAAGGATGACAATTAAATTGTTGATTTAGAACAATACAACAATAAAAAAGTCGGTTTACTTTTTTGTTTATCTCGTTTGTATAGATTGTGGCTTGTTCATTCGTCATACATTCGAACTAGAGTCGAACATTTATAAAATGTTTAGTCATTTATATTTAAACAAAATTATTTTATTCAAATTATTAAGGTTAATCAAATAATGTTCATACATAAAAAAACTGAACACTTTGATTGTGGTGTGTACCAGTTTATTGAGATAAGGTTAAAAATGGAAAGTTATAGTGTGAACTAAAATATTCACAATCTAAAAATTATTATGTATGCGTACTAAGTAATGGTGTATATTGAAAAAATTAATGGTGTGTAAATAGAATTACCCCTTAGCTTTTTAAATTGTTAGCTATAATAAAGATAATACTCTTCTGCCCATAAGCTATTGTAGTAACTTTTTTACTAAAACCGGAGATGAAAAAAATTATTATGTTTGGAATGACTTTTTTTGATTTTTTACACAAAAAAAAAAATGCAAAAAATATTGAGAAAAAAGAATCTTAGACTCTTTTGTATAGTCCTTCAACTTTTTAATTTTTTTATTTTTTAACTTTTATGGGAATTCCCAAACCAAGCCGAGCTTCAAATAATTTTATTTTTTGGATAAATAAATTAAAAAAGTCAATTCAGTTATAATTTAAAATTGCAAGTAAATACTTTAATTAACTTATTTTGGGCAAATAAAGTAAATAAATTAACCAAAAAGTGAGACCATTATTTATTAGAATTACCAATTCTTCTATCTTTTGTGGTAATTTTATCAGTTTGAGGTCATTTTATTCCTAGCAATGCAGTCTTGATCATGTATTTTGAGAAATTGAACGTTTGATACAAATTTAAAAGAGAAAATTGGTGAAAAATTCACTCCAATAATTGTCTAAGACAATAAAGTTAGCGAATATTTTTCATTAGTGAGAGGTTCACGGGAAATTCTATTTCCACACACTTAGACTTTGTTTGGGAACCCAAGTTTGAGGCTATTTAGCCTCAAACACTAAAAAAATCAAATAGCATTAAATAGTACCTTAAACCAATGATTTATATTTAAAATATAAAAAAATAAAAAAGCAACTCGACAGTGGCAGCCTACACTGTCATACGTTGGCAGTGCACTGACAGCCTAGCACTGTCATGTTGGCAGGCTGTCCTACAGGTAGTAAATGACAATTTTGCCCCTTTAGACCAATTTTGAAAAAAGTAAAGTTAGGGACAAATTTGTCATTTCAGTTTCAAATATCATTTCAAACACATTTTTCAATACAACAATCAATCAAGAAATTCAACCCAACTTTCCAAACTAAAAACTAAAATAGCCTACTAAAATAGTCAAATAGCCAAAAAGCCAAAAAAGTAGTCACTTTCCAAACAAAGCCTTAATTATCTCAATGCACATCTTCTCTCAGTACACACACTTATTAATTTGATTATTAATTAATTTTCTCAATCCACACATTAAAAGTTACAATTATATCCTTCACTCATAATCATTGTACACACACTACTCAAGCCTCGTTTTCACACCTTTTTTTTGTTTTTTTTTTTATATTTTTCGATTTAGAGATTTCGGCACTAGTTTTCCGAAATTACACATTTAATTTGAAACTTAACTTCTGAATAAAAATAATTAGTTCAACAAATTTGTTCCAAAAAAAGATTTTAAAAAAACTTTCAACAGTTGATGTTCGAATATAATGAAATAATTCGATACTGGTTATCCGATTGAAAACCGTGAGAAAAAAAAAATTATACGAAAAAACTGACATTTTCATCACTAATATTGTATAAATTTAGAGAGAAACAATATGAAAGTTGCTATAAGAGTATTGATTTACAAGTAATAAAGGAGTACAAAGTTTGTAACAAGCAAAGTGACAGTAATAGAAAAATTAGGATTTAATTTTTTTTACTCAAAAGGTATTCCTTGAGATTTTTTTGTTTTTAAAAGATGTATATAGAAAATATTTTCCTATAATATTATGAGTGTTAGTGAATGTCCATTATGGTCATTTTAATTTAGTATATAATTGCCATTAAAATAATATTTCATTAAGCATGTGCACTGAAATAATTAGGTGTGTGAAAATAGACTTTTTTGAATTCCATCTTTTGTGAAATAATTTGGTGAAAAGTTCAAAAAGATATTTTGTTTTTAATTTTATCCTTTAATTTATATATTGACCTTTTTTTATCTGTTGATTTTTCATTGAATATCTGTTCAAATTTTTTGTATATCTGTTCAATTTTTTCCTATGTAAATTAGCTCTCTATCCAATTTCATCTGTGTGAATTTTTATCTGTCCAATTTTTTATCTGTACAAATTTTCTATTCATATTCTATCTATAGAAATGTCATCTGTCTAAATTTTTTTTTTCAGGCCAAATTTAAAAAAAAAAAAACCATAAAATTTATCTGAAACAACTACCAAAAAAAACGGCAAATTACATATACATCCCTCGAAGTTTAGTTAAATTACAGATATCCCTGAGATTTGAGAAATTACAGATACTCCCCTAAGGTTTATATTTTCATAACAAATTGTCTCCTAAAGTTTATATTTTCATAATAAATTGTCCCCTAATTTGTTATGCAAATATAACCTTCAGGGGAATATCTGTAATTTCTCAAATCTCAGGAATATCTGTAATTTAACTAAATCTCGAAGTAAGTATATGTACTTTGCCCAAAAAAAAAAAAATAAAACAAAAACAAAAACAACAACAACAACAACAACAATCATCATCACCAACAAAAACAAAAATAAAAACAAAAACAAAAACAAAAAAAGAGTAGATCTTAAACATATCTCAAATCTACACATCTCATGTCTCTTCATTTATTCTTCAATCAAACAAATGGAAGATAGTTTTGACCTTGAATTGAGTAAATCATGAGCAGGAGCTATACTTTATTTTGCTTCCTTTACCTGCAATTTCTCAGGAATCAATCAGAGAGACCAGAAAATTGATCCTCAAATCAAACAAACAGCAAAAAAAAATAAAAATAAAACAACAGATCAAAACGTTCTCTCTCCTATTTCCCCCATTTTCTCGGTAAACAAACCGCAGATCAAGCAAATGAGCAAAAAAATAAGTATTAAAACTGTTCAAAAATCCAACTCTCTCTCACTCCATTTCTCTTTCAGCTGACACATTCATCGGAGAATCTTTAGGTTAAAAAAACAGCTTAAACCTTCAATAATCAAAAATCGCACATCTTAAAACACACACAAGTCAAGAAATCATACAATATGTATATATGTGTGTGATTGTGAGTTGCTTCTGATATAGAAAGTTCTAGAGAGAGAGAGAGAGCAAAGAACTCACCTTACGCTGTGTTTGGTTGGAGATTTGGGAAGGGATTTAGAAAGGAAAAGGAAAAATGTGTGAAATATAGGTATATTTTATTCACAATTCAACTGTCTTTTCTATTTTTATTTTCAAATCTCTCCTCAAATCTCTCAACCAAACACAGCATTAGTCTTGTGATTTAAGGAAATGGCCGCCGAGTAATTGGATCGCCTGATTTTGAAGATTCGCCACTGCTGTGGTGGGGACATCGCCACCGCGAGAATCTTCAACCTCGGTTTTGTCAGACACCTTCGATGGCTATAAAGAAGTCCTTCGTTCATCGTCTCAACATCAAGCATTGGGAGAGGAATCACCAATCTTCTGTAGACCATGGCGCTAGCCACAATGGGAGTGTAGGCAGGGATGGACCGAGGGGGGCTGGCAGGGGCGACCGCGCCCCCAAAGTTTTGAAAAAACTCCCTTGATATAATATTAAAATTATAAATATTTTAAAATTATATAGATTTGTCAACCAAGTCATCGTCTCATGTAAACTGGTACTGGTTTCATTGCCCTTGAAAGCCCATGAGGTGCTAGAGAAGTGATCAACTGCTATTAAGAACCACCACCCCTAAATTTTCTACTTTAAACTTCAAAAATTTAAATTTTTTTTTGATAAATACTAATAATAATAATAATAATAATTTATTTTTTTAAGTATGATTACTTTTTATTTTAAATTTAATAATATTAAAATAATTGAGAATTTATTTATTAATATGTCAAAGTCTTTTTTATCTGATTAAGGTCTAATTTTTTAATTGTTTGGTTATAACTAAATAAAATAAAAAATAAATAAATAAAACTCACATGCCCTACACTTGAGTTGAAAAGATTCCCAAATTCTCATTAACCTAATTCTCTCTCTCTCTCTCTCTCTCTCTCTCTCTCTCTCTCTGGTTTTGGGATTATCATTGAATTGAAGCAGCACTAGAGGTTTCTTTACAAGCCTTCTTAGATTCTACCTTTCCTTCAAAATGCAATTCAATCCTATATACATTTATAATTACTCTACAATTTCTATATATCTATACATAAAGATTTGAATGTAGTAGAATTAATTGTAGATTACTTATGCATATATAATTAATATTAATTGTAAAGACTAGATTGTGCAACAGGATGGAGGATGATTTTCTTTCATGCTACTTGTTACCAAATGTTGGGAAAGACATTGCTCGAGATTTTGATGTAGATTCCATCAATCTCTCTCTCTCTCTCTCTCTCTCTCTCTCTCTCTCTCTCTCTCAGGTTTTGGGATTATCATTGAATTGAAGCAGCACTAGAGGTTTCTTTACAAGCCTTCTTGGATTCTACCTTTCCTTCAAAACACTATTCTCGGTATGCAATTCAATCTTATATACATTTATAATTACTCTACAATTTCTACACATCTATACATAAAGATTTGAATGTAGTAGAATTAATTGTAGATTGCTTATGCATATATAATTAATATCAATTGTAAAGATTAAATTGTGCAACAGGATGGAGGATGATTTTCTTTCATGCTACTTGTTACCATATGTTGAGAAAGACATTGCTCGAGATTTTGATGTAGATTCCATCATAGATGTTTTTTATGTTATGAAAAAACGTTGAGCACAATTTTAGATGCCTAAGTAGATATGTAAAGCAAATAGTTGCTTTTTTGAAAATTATTATGGATTTAGTAGAACATATCCAATTGTATTTTGATAATATTTTGTAATTATATACGATGAATGGAAATATATAATTATATATTTTTGTGGTATTTGGATAGAAAATGATATTGTTTATCACATGCTCATGACAAATTTTTTGATTGCATATGTACTTGTCCCCCGATATTAGAATCCTGTGTCCGTCCCTGAGTGTAGGCGGTGGTGGCGCCATCGCAATCTGAAACCCTAGCTGCCTACATATAAGAGAGAGAGAGAGAGAGAGAGAGAGTACGTGAAGAAGAAGAAGGTGGAGGAAGGGGCTGGGGTGGTGGCCGAAGAAACAGCTAGCACAGTGTCTGAAACCGTAGCAAGAGAGATCTGCAGCATGAGAGAGAAGCACAACGTTGACATGTGGTGACACGACGATGGCCGATGAAGAGAGAAGAGAGGAAAGGCGAGAGAGAGACGATAGAGAGAGAATGATTTGGTTTGGCTAGCTCAGGGTTTGGGAAATTATATATATGCATGGATAGCTTAATCATTTTGCCAGATTTAGATAAAATATTTTTTAGCGTAATTCTTTAAATAAAGAATATTCGAAATTGAATTTATGAACAAAGCCAATTTGAGATTACAATAAAAAATAAAAACTACAGCTCTGCAAAAGACTCCAAAAACAAGGTCGTGAGGATACGATAGACGCATTTTTATCTACATTTCAGAGAGAGGTTGCATTTTCTTATTAAAAAAAAAAAAAAGAGGGTCAAATTCATTATTTAAAATAATGATGAAAGGTAAGATATACCCCTATTCTACCAGGAAGGAATGATTCAAAAACAAACAGCAACTAAAATGCCAAGCCTGCATCCATTCTCATCATCAGTTCTTTTCTAGGTTAGACAACTCAAACATGACACGGACTCAACTTAGGTTTGTTCCAACAAACAACACAAACACACGTCATCCCTGTTCTTCAGTTCCAGGTTCGACAACTTAAACAGTTCATCCTAGGTTTTATTCCAACGAACAAACACAAACACAAACACTTGTCGTCCCTGTTCATCAGCTCCAGGCTCGACAACTTAAACAAGACACAGATTCATCCTATGTTTATTCCAACAAGCAAACACAAACTACATGTCGTCCCTGTTCATCAGTTCCAGGCTCGACAACTTAAACAAGACACAGATTCATCTGAAGGTTTATCCCAACAACACACAAACATGTGTTGGCTGACCCTGGTTTATTAACTGCAACTACTAAAATAGCTCATAAAAAGCGCAGCAAGGAGGGCGCTTAGAGTGACCAGTGCATATGCTGAGTGGAAGAGTCATACGCCCCTGAATGCTCAAGTTCCAACTCCAGCTCGCCAGAATACTGGTTATTACCTGGCTGTGACATCTGTCGCAGACCCAGATCAGAAGTCATCGTCTCATGTAAACTGGTACTGGTTTCATTGCCCTTGAAAGCCCATGAGGTGCTAGAGAAGTGATCAACTGCTGTGCCATGAGTAGTAGCTGTTGATTGAACCACGTGAGTTCCATCAGTGTTAACGAAGTTGTTCACGCCAAGACTCAAGGGTGGTTGGTCCCTCGAGCCCCAGGGTTGATTTGACAGAAGAGAGAGAGCACAGCCAGAGTCAGTGACACCGGTGAAACATTCTCCCGGAGGAATGGTGGAACCGGAATAGCTGGACCCACTTGCTGAGCCATGCAGAAAAAGGTTTGACGGAGGATTTTCAGATTCGCTCTGCCACGGATGCGGAAGAAACTTCCCGGTGGCAGTGGGCTGATTGCCTGAAATCCGGTCAGATGTTCTGGTTGTTGGCCATGGATCTCGCCCGGTGAGCCTAGGGTATGTGTTGAAGTCCATCAGAAAGCCTCCACCTCTGCTGTTTTCTGTCAGAAAAAGTATCATACATTTGAACTCAGTTTTAGAAGAAATGCAAAGCAAAAACCTAAAAATTAAATGTATTTTGAGACAGTTCTAGGACAAGTGATGAGGGTTTGAAAGGAGTTTTTGTTGATGAGGTCAAACCAAAGACAGATGAAGACAAGCGTCCATAGCGTGAGGACAATAAAGATCCGGGTGGTGGCTTCCTCCGACGCTCATTATGGCCAGCCAGGCGTCTGCGGCAACTTCTTTTCCCTTGATCAAATTCAGGAAGTTGGTGAAACCTGTGCACAAGCAAGCCAAGAAGCTATTAATTCCATTCATAATTATTTTTGGGGAGGAAATTGCGGAGGAAGAAACCACAAACATAGTAGTAAAAAGAATCAATCACAATCAAGAAAAACATGGCACACACATGTGGTTCGGCAAAATTACCTACATCAAAAGCTCACACCGGTTCCACCATATTGGAAAAAGAGGCAAGTACAAATCGGCTCCAATATATATACTAAGGTTTACATCAACATATTATTGAAATATTCTTAGTACTCAAAATCTCCCTCAATTGAATCAGTGGCAACATGCTGAAATGTACAATATTAATTAGGCTACACAAACCCAACAGAAATTCCAAGAAAGGAGAAGAAAAATGCAACAAAAATTAATCCAGATGGAAGATACAATGGATGTTTTGATGAAAGATTTTAAAATCCAAAACAAATCAAGTGGTTTCCCAATTTGCCTAAGTTCACCAGGGAAATGAGGGTGCTTCTAATAATCACCCAAAACCGGAGAGAAGACAAGGAAAATGCTAAGGAATTTCAATTCACCGAAACTACTTTGATTGTAAGTTTGAGAACAACTTTTGATCCAATTTTGCTATCATGACATTAGAAGAAAGGGAGATGAAAAGAACAAAATCCACTTTCAAATAAAAACATGACTTGGAAAATGGTGCATTTGGTATCATTTTTGTTTTTGTTTTCCATTCTTGAAAGAAAAAAAACAAAAAAGAAACTGACATGTCCAAACTTGTTTGACAACTATTTCCGAAAACTGCTTGGCAAAATTTTCAGACAATACCCCTTTTCAGAAAACACTTGAAAGTTGTTTTCTGAATTTTCAATTAATTATTTTTGCATACAGATGACACGGTGGGTGTTTTTTTTTTAGCTTTTTTTATTGTTTTTGTTTCCCAAAACATGAACAAAAACGAAAAACATAAATATCAAAAATTAAAACTACACCAAACAGGGGAATACCTCAGGAAACCCTGTCATGTTCACCCCTGTTTTTCCTACAAAAGTTTCGTAAATCAAATTCCCAAACACCAATCGATGCCTTAATTAAAGCAACTACTGATAGGCATAGAGCACATCACTTTCCAAGAGCTCATGATTTTTTTGGAGCCAAGGCACAACCAGGTTCAACTTTACATTACAAAGAATGTCTTGCAAATTTCCTAGATTATTTATTTATTTATTTATTTTTATTTTTTTGAGAGCTTGAAAAACCAGCATCAATAAAAGAACCACATTTCCAATCAGAATACATTCTCATATCATGTCAATTAAAAAGAAAAGGAAACCAAGAAAAACAAAAACAATGATGATACTAAGGCCCCGCTTGTTTTGGGGTGTAAAGGATGGGAGGGGATTAAGATGGAGGTGGGATTATTTAGGGTTGTGTTTGTTTGTAGAGTTGGAGGAGGGATTAGGATGGATGAGGGGATTAAGATGGAGGTTGGAAGGGGGGTTGGGATGGAGGAGGTGGAGGTGGAGGTGGAGGTGGTATTAGAAAAATAGTGAGGAGATTCTAATTTTTTTTTTTTATTTTTTACATATTGGAAATTTTTTTTAAACATTAATGTTTAATTTTTTATATTTTTTATTACTTCATAAAAAAATAATTTAACAATTCCTACACTAACAATTAACATCAAAACAAACACAATTTTACTTAATCCCCTCACTATCAATCTCCTCACTGTTAATCTCCTCACTATAAATCCTCTCCATTCTACCTCTGAAAACAAACGGAACCTAATAGTAACAGAAGCCACAATCCCTACTTCCTACCAAACTGAACTTAGCACTTCTTCTAAATTAGGATCTTACAATCAAATGTAATTTGAAAATTTTGGGAGACATACGTGAGCACAGGTCTATAGATTCCTGTGTAAGCAAAAACAAATGGAGGCCTTGGAAACTATGAAGTGCTTAAAAAATTCAAAGGTGTACCCATCACTAGATAGCTCCAATTAGAGATTGTCAACACAAAAACCATCATGATTAAATGATGTAGACCATTTGATTTGAAAACCTAATGAAACCTTACTGCAAAACATTTCCCACCACTTAAAGATACAATACAAATCAAGCAGTACAAAAATCATTTACTGAAACTAACCTTCGGTACTTATGCTTAGGTGGAACCCATGACTGTTAAATTTCACTATTCCACATACAAGCTACATGCACGCATGCATATACCATGGGATCAAGCAAGTACACACATGGATAACAAACTGAGTACATTGAACATGGATTAGGCATTTGATTCTTAACCCAATATGTTGGTTAGGTTTTAATCACTCTTGCATCAACTGTTGATTTACTTGATTCACAAACCAATATTTCCAGAATCTAGTATCCACAAAAAGAACCTTTTTAAGAACAATTTCAAGCCCACATGGAATATCCTAATATTACTCCACCTTAATATCCATACATGTGGCTTGCAAGTAAAGGATACAAGCCTAACATTTAATGAGTACTAGGCTGCATGCATGGTTAAAAATTTGATGAAACTGGATGGTTTTGAAAACAGTGATTTTACCCATAATTCTTACGGATGATGGGAGGTTTAATTTTTTTTTTTGCAAAATTACCGATGGCAATCTTCAAATCCCAATGATTCAAAACCATCCAATCATGCTGATATTTTAGCATGAACAATCACTAAAAAAAATAACTTAGAATTCAATGACAAAAGAAAAATAAAATATATATATATTCTCCTCTTTTAGACTTTATAAATTAGTGTTACATTGTATTTTGTTAATATCATTGAATTAAAAATTCATATACATGACATAGAATAATTGCATATTATTATATATGGCATTTAATAAATATAGAAAACTATATATTTTGCGTGTGCCCCCATGTATCTTAGATTTTTTTAAAAAAATTTGTGTCGGCATGTTCATGTCGTGTCCGTGCTTCTTAGCTGCATTCCAAATAAATGTTGGAACTTGAATGTGCAAATAAGTTACAAGACTACAAAAGAAGTTTCAGATACAATTAAACTGATCATTGTAAGGGTAGGTTGAAAAAGAACCCATTGTACAAAAAAAGGAAAAGTTGTGTGATGCAATGGTTTGTACATATATATACAAACGAACACGTAGATCATAGAACAATTTTTTTTAATAACACCACCAAATTCTTAGTCATAATCAAATATTCAGCCTACAGTGGCATAAGTATCCTTCATTTTTTATTTTTAGGTTATGATTGACCCAAGTTTCCTTTATGAAGTATCAGTTGTTGTGAAGAGGACCTAGATACACATCGAGGAAAGCATAGAACTATCAAATGACAGGTATTCAGACTTCAGCCACATATGAAAATGTGCAATCCGAATATCAAAACCTTCAAAGTACATAAAGTTATCACAAAAATGGGGTAAGCATATGCAAATGAAAATTTTCCTGAAGTACAGCAGAATCCTCAGCTAAGACACTGAAACAACAATAAGTTTAATAGACACCCAAACTTGCACCTGTGAAGGAAATGCTGCTGATTGCTTTCCCAAATTTTGATATAAAATCAAAGAGAATAATTTGACCTGATATGAGTTCAAAAAGCTATTGCAACACCAACATGTTGCCAAGATTCTATCAAAATTAAAATTATCCGACATGATGTGCATTTGAAATAAATATGATCAGAACATAGAATGCTACAATACAATTCAAAAGCACATAACCCATGCTTTTTCTGAAACAAAAAGTCTCCTCAAGCTAGATGAGTATCTTTAACACATTGGCTATGTTTTACTTTTTCCTTTCCTTTTCCTTTCCCTCACAAATCCCCCCTTAAATCCTTGATCCAAACACAGCCTTAAGGAATGTTCACAGGAAGAGCATCTATTGATATAGAAAATAATAATAACAATTATAAAAATAAATAAATAAATACATAAAGCATACTGCCAGCACCAATGTAATGAAGACCTAACCACTAAAGCTAATGGGGAAGGAATATCAAAAGGAAACTCATAAGCACCACTAATAGAAATGCTCTGTTCATAAAAAGGTCTATTCTTTGCACCCAAAAAAACATAAAGAAAATAAGATACCCTAAAAAACAAAGATCACTCAACTTGTATAAACTCATCAATTTTTGTATCATTGTCAATTAAAATACATCCAAATGACCAACAAACTTTTCTGGAGGCCCCGTTTGGGGACTGACTTTTTTAGTCAATTAGCCAAAAAGTTACTAAGGCCTCGTTTGGAAACAGGCTAATTTAGTAACTTTTTGGCTATTTGGCTAAAAAGGTAGGTAAAAAAAACTTATATATTTGGGATGGCTTTTTGGCTAATTACGAAAAGATGTGCAAAAAGTAGAGAAAAAAAAGAATCTTTGACTTTTTGGTATGAGTTGTTGACTTTTTGGCTAAAATGGGAACTTTTTGACTTTTTGACTAAAAAGGTAAGTCCCCAAACGAGGCCTAAATTAGCCAAAAAGCCAACAACTCATACCAAAAAGTCAAAGATTCTCTTTTCTCTCTACTTTTTGCACATCTTTTCATAATTAGCCAAAAAGTCATCCCAAACATACAAGTTTTTTTACTTATCTTTTTAGCCAAATAGCCAAAAAATTACTAAATTAGCCTGTTCCCAAACGAGGCCTTACTGAATGATGTCAAAAATAAATACAAATCCAAAAAGTGTTCCTTTGGTCAATTTTTTTTTAAATCTTTTAAGAATTGAGGCTAACCAATAGGGTGCAAGTACACATGGAACAAAAGGCATTTGTGTTGAATGTTGCAAGGGTCAATATCATATATTTCAAGCTCCATCATTCTCACCCATTTAGAAACCAATGGCAGTTTCGTATCATCAATCATGGAGAATATGATTTTTGCACCAAAACAATAAACTGTTACTGACAATGCATTCAGATGTCAGGACACAAATAACAGTGGCTTTTTACAACTAAGAAGCTACAATATACTAAAATCATCCACCTGTGCCTTACAGCCACCGATGATTTTTTCTTTTATGTACATTTTTGTGTGTAGGTAATCTCTGCCCAAGAATATGAGAATGATAGAATTGGAATCTGCACTTCATTTACTGTAACCAACTAGAAAGCTTGATATCATCTTTGAACAACCTTCTAAACCAGATCCAGTCCAGTATAGAAATCTATGTTACCCACTAGAACTGGTTCATTCTTACTCGAGCAGTCAAGCTTACCTCTAAATTCGAAGTTTTAGAACTTCCTTGATCCCCTCACTAATTTCTCACATCCACTGTTTTCAGACCAATTATTTAATTTTATGATTATCATTGCAATTAATTCAAATATAATTATCACCAGAATGACAAAAGAAAGGATGCAATTGTGGAAGGATCACAGGCTAAAATCCTTAAAAGCACCTCTGTTGTATAAAAAACAAAGAAAAGACTCATTTTAAATGCTACTAAAATAAAAATATTAAAGTGGCCAATTCCAACTACAATATTGACATTTTAAAAAAGGAAAAAGAAAAGGAAAAAGTCCATCTCTATTGGACTCCCATTGATGTAACAGAACAGTATAAATAAACTGGAAACACACAATTATGGGCTGCCAGTGCTAATAGCTAGCATCATTCACTTTCACGCTGGAATTTGTTTAGGTAACACCCTTGTAAATACGTCCCATTTGTTAAAATTTTCATAGTGTGCTTACAATTTTCATGGATCTCACTATCTCCTGGGTACACATGAAGGACCCACCCCGATCTACATGTAGGATCTCACTGAATCTAGATGCAAGCTTTCACCTTCGATCTACATGTATGATTTCAACCAATCTTCTATATATGATTTCTAGGATCTCACTAATCTAACTCCACCACCCATCTCCAAATGAGATCGGTCACATGAGATTTATCACATCCATTCCGTGCATCTCCAAACTTAGCTCCACACACAATCTGTCTCTTATATTTAGCTCTGGAATAACCTATGCTGAGAGCAGTGCCTCTAGGACGTCCACTCGGGATCATTGGGAGACTTGTGGCTCGGAGGCTAGAGTTCAGGGATCATCAAGGCCCCAATCAGGGGACACTTGACCAGTCTTAGAGAAGAGAAATTTCACCAAGACACATGATGTACCTGCGCTACAACATGCGAGCTGCAAGTTGCAACCACGACAAGTAGACATTGCATGCCTGACGTTTGAACTGTGGGCGTGTGATGCAAGAGATCCCTGACCCTCAATGTTGTCAAGATCCGTTGATCATCTTGATATGGTCGGGATAAAAGATCATTGACCAATCAATACATTGATACAATCAGGGAGATTCCTCCGTATTGTCTAACAGGACATGCTCCAACGTCCCTTATATAAAAAGGAGTTCTCTTCTAAGCAATCATCAAGCCCTGAACACACCTCAAATAGCTCCCTCTAGCTCATAGACCTCCACTGCCACTCTCTCTCTTCTATGAGTTCCTCCACTCTCATCCCCTCCACCTCTGGCGATCCCATGCCAGCTAAGTGCCTAACATTTTCTCAGATCACATTGTTCCAGCCACCCCAAACACAATCATCCACTGTCAGCCAATTTACAAGGACAAACTCCACTTTAGCTCTATACTGACTAAACCAAAAACCAATATCCCCTCCCAACAACAACCCCCTTGCGACATGTCACGTGAGTTGTTTGCCAAATAATGTGCTTTAACCTGATATTGACCTGGAAGCCTCAATCCTTGGAGCGTCTTTGGTGAGTGACTGCACAACACATGTTCCCATAGAAGACAAGAGAGCCAGAGGATGGTTTCTTGAAGCCATAATTCATTGTATTTCTTGCATATTTATATTTTTCCAGACTACACTGGTGCTTATTGTGGGATTGTAATTTTCTATCCTGTGATTTGTGCGCATTAAACACAACAAAATTCATAAACATTAACAACTAGCTACCAAAACATCATTCTCACTAATAACCCAAATCATCCACACACACACACACACAAAAAAAAAACTCCATTCTCCACCAAGAATCAAATCTGGTAGAGTCATCAAACATAATAAATACACACACAAACACAAACACAAACACACACACACACACACACAAAATATCAAGTAAACAACAAACTCCTTGATTTTAACAGAAGTAAAACCAAAACAAGCAAATTATTGAAATAAATAATTCAAAACCCACATCAGAGTAAAAAACACCTAACAAATAAACAATAATTAACAGCCCAAAAACAAATTAAAAACATAACTCAAATATATACATATATAGGGAGAGAAAGAGAGAGAATCTAACTGACCTGCTACACTGCTGGCAAAACCTCTGCTCAAGGCCAGCAACAATAACCTTAGGCGACTTAGAGTGCATACCACAGACTTTGTGCCTAGAATAGTAAGCCTTAGCATCACTCAGATCTGCATTACACCCTTCAACCTGACACCTAGGTGGTTGTCCACCATGAACAGCCCCACTCCTCCCCTTCTTCGGCGGCGTCGACGGCACCGACCCAACACTCACGGCGGCCGCCACCGCCGAAGACGACGACGACCCACCACCGGATTTGGGCGGGGCTCCAATACCCAAATCCTCAAAGTAGATTTTCTGGCCAAATTTCAGGCCATTGAGTGAATCGGAGGAATTGGAAGAGGAAGAAGAGCTTGAACCCATCTCCATGTGTGGTGTCTAGAGTTCATTCGTTGCACTCCCTTGAAGTTGTGGGTCAAATCATGAAAAAAAGGAGAGAGAGAGAGAAGAGAGAGACAGAGAGAGTCGGTAATTGGAATTGGTGTTGGTGTTGGTGTTGGTGTGTGTGCTGAGTAAGCTTCTTTTGGGGAAGCTGACGAGTGTTGGTGTAGTGTAAAGTAGACCCCCTGACACTGGGCCATGCCAGCTTTGCGAGTGAGTAGTGAGTAGAGAGAAGAGACTGTCAAATAATCAAGAAAGCAGCAACAAGGCAGAGGAGAGAGAAGAGAGACAAAGGAGAGAGCTTTAATCAGTCACTCAAAACTCAACAAACTGTCGCTTTTTAAAACTTTTTCTCTTCTCTCTCTATTCGGAATTTTGTGGCTGCAAAACATATTAATCTTTCTTTATTAAAGTTTATTTTTGTTTTCAATGATTTTTATATCAAAAAACTTGAGGTTAACAGATTGTTTGTGAAATGTGCCTCTGTTCCGTAATTATTTCGTTTTTTATTTTTAAATTATATTTATAAAATTTTAAAAAATTATTATAAAAATTTATTTGATAATTTTTTTAGTTTGTAAATGATTGTCTCAGTTTATAAATTTAAAGAAAAAAACATAAACTCAAAAAATGAGTTTACATTTTCAGTTTTCAATTTTTTTTTCAAATAATTTTTTTCCATTATTTTTTTCAATTAATTTTTTTTCTCAATTATTTTTTTAATTTAAGTATTTTTTTCAATTAATTTTTTTTCCTAGTTAAATTTTTATTTCAATTATTTTTTCAATTAATTTTTTTCCAATTATAATGTGTGTGATCCCATTGTCATAAATAATAAAAATAAATATAAAATTTTAGGGCTGAACAAAAATATTTTTTAGTTTATGTTTTTAAAAAATTTTAAACATTTTGTTCAAATCAAACGCGTTTATAATTTATGTTTTTTTAAAAATAAACAAAAATCAATTTATAAGATTTTTGTAAACATAAACAAAAAACGTAAACGTTACCAAACGCTACCTAAATAATTGATGGTTTGGGTAGAGTTACAAAAGTATATTTTTAAATTTTTTTTAGGTTATATAATTTTTATTTTTATTTTTCTCACATCCTTTTACAAAAATTAAAAATTACACTTATTTAAATCATTCTAAATAGTTTTTGACTTTTTATGAAAAAATGTTAAAAAAATAAAGAGGTGATATGATCCAAAAAAGATAAAAAGATTAAAATATATATATTTTTTTAGTGCTAGCCAAACAATCCCTAATTCAAGCCTCTTTTGATAACATCTAAAAAAAAAATCAATTTATTAGTTTATTTGTGTCATATCACTTCTTCTTTTTTTTTTTCGTAATAAACACAAAAAAAAAAAATCAATTTGTAAACCACAACCGAAACAACCCTAAGCAGTATTTTAGAAAGTGATTAAAGCTTCGTTTGGAAAGATGTTTTATTTGGACAAAGGCCTTGTTTGTCATCTACTATATAATCCATCTTTTTATCTTTTTATCTTTTTTCCATCATATCACCTCTCTACTTTTCTACACATCTTTTCGTAAAAAGACAAAAAGTGTACTTTTTTAGTACACCCCAAACCAACCCTAATTTAGGGTTGGTTTGGGGTATACTATATAATTCATCTTTTTATCTTTTTTTCATCATCAATTTATTAGTTTATTTGTATCATATCACTTCTTCTTTTTTTTTTTCGTAATAAACACAAAAAAAAAAAATCAATTTGTAAACCACAACCGAAACAACCCTAAGCAGTATTTTAGAAAGTGATTAAAGCTTCGTTTGGAAAGATGTTTTATTTGGACTAATTTAGGGTTGGTTTGGGGTATACTGTATAATCCATCTTTTTATCTTTTTTTCATCACATCACCTCTCTATTTTTCTGCACATCTTTTCGTAAAAATACAAAAAGTACACTTTTTTAGAACACTTCAAACCAACCCTTAGTCCACTAAAAAATAAAATAGACTAACAAATTAATAAAACAAAATGTCACATTTAAATTACAATCATTTTACTTTATTTCTTACAAAAAAAAAATCAAAAGTTCATCCCAAATAAAACTTTTTTAATTAAATTAAAATAACCAAAAAGTCAAGCTAAAAAATTTCTTCCCAAACAAAAGTTTAACTTTTTAAGTTTTTACGAAAATGATATTTAAAAAATAAAGAGAATAGTTAATTTTGTTGTAGTAATTTTTTAACTATTTTATAAGTGGTTCTCAAAATAATCCTAAAGTTAACCTTCGTTTGGCAGAGGAGGTTTTTGGATTTTTTGACTAAAATAATCACAAAAAGATAAAATAAATTTTTTAATCCAATAAAACAAAAGTCACGTTTAAACCATAATCATTTCATTTTTTTCTCTCATAAAAGTAAAAAAAATCAAAACAATTTATCCCAAACAAGACTTTTTAGCCCTATATTAAAATAATAAAAAATATAAGAAGTAAAAAACCCAACCCACATCCCAAAAGAAGTCAATATCAATTTTTAGTTTAAAAGTCAAAAAGTCACTAAAAAAATTAAAAAGCCAACAATCTATACCGAAAAATCAAAAATTCTCTTTTCTTTCTATTTTTTGCACATCGTTTCGTAAAAAATTAAAAAAATCATCTCAAAAATACTAATTTTTTTACATAATATTTTAGTAAAAAAATCAAAAAATTACTAAATAAGTCAGTTCCCGAACGAGGCCTTAATATCCTTTTTCAAGTTTTTTTTTAAAAAAATTTGAAAAAAATGATTTTAGTTTTTTTAGGATTCATTTCGATTATATGATAAAAATTTTAAAATTTTTAGAAAAAACTAAAAATAAAATAGTTTTTCAGCTTAATTGACAAATTTTGGTTCCCTTTTTTTTTAGTATTTTCTTTTCAAAATATTTTTATTTTTAAAATCTAGGCGGACGTAAAAAATTGTTTTTCAATTTAAAATTGAAAAAAAAATATTAAAGACAAAATTAAACTCACTTAGTAGTCAAGTCAAACAAATTTATTTATTTATTTTTATTTTTTTTCCTTCACTTACTAGAGCTACTCCAATCTACATATAGGGAAAAATGAAAATGAGATCACCCTCGGCTTCCACCATGAGGTTAGGCTGGATTGAATTACCATGATTATAAGTTATACCGCAGAGTGCTGAAGAGAGGTCGGATTGATAATTTATGGGGATTAATAATCATCTTATTAGTGGAGGAATTAGCTAGAGTGTGTGATTAGAAAAATAATGGTTTTTTTTGGAAAATGAGTTAAAAGTCACTTTTTTAATTTTTAACTCATTTTGAGTTATATCATTTCTCGTATTTTTTATATGTTTTTTCAAAAAAAAAACTAAAAAAAGTTGAAAAAACAAAAAATACAGCTTTTAACCATCTTCCAAAACACCCCAATGAACGGATTAGGCCAGCTTTCTTTCTTTCCTTTTTCTTTTTTTATCAAGTCCACCTATTTGTTTTAATATTTATTTTAGATTTTTTTTAATATTGAACTAATTAATTATTTATTTTATATAAAAATAATTTAACAATCTCATCACTATCCTACACTATCATTAAAATAAATACACTTTTACTTAGGGTTGTTTTGAGAAATTGGTAAAAATTTGACTTTTGATTTTTTACCAAGCTTTTTGACTTTTTTAGAAGTGATTTGAGAAGTTGATAAAAAACTGACTTTTTACTTTTTAGTTTAATATTTATTTATGGTGTCAAATCAAATTAAAATGACCAAAATACCCTTATCCAACATAAAAGATTTATTTTTTTATTTTTTTTTCATAAGCCCTAATTTGTAATTTTACAGCTGCGTTTTTGGCACTTGCCAAATGGCTTTTCTGGCATTTTTAACAGCCACATTTTTGGACCATGTTCCCAAAATGGCACTTAATCCTCTCACTAACAATCATTAACAATTTATTCACTAATTATCTCTTCACTAACAATCTCATCCAACCTAATCCGCTAAACAAACGTAGCCAAGAGTTAAGGAGAAGGGTTTAGTTTGATAGAGCGTTTGAGCTTGGTAAATCTATTTTAGGATCGATTTCGATAATTCTAACTGTTCACTTTGTAAAATTCGTTGAGTAGAATATTCACACAAAAAATTAAGTTGATTAGATATTGGTAGCTATATATTTTAATTAAATTTATATTACAAAAAATGGATATTTATTCTGTAAATTATATTTGTCGTCTATTTTTTTAAAACAAAAAATGATTCAAACCTATAGTTATCGATATCCAATTATTTTAATTTTTTTGCACGAATATTCTACTTAATAAGTCTTAAAAAGTAAATGATTCGAATCATCAAAATCGATCACAAAATGGGTTTACTAAAATCCAAACATACTCTCAAGTTGAGATGACAACTTCAGAGAAGTCAAATCCTACGGACAATGCCACTAAAAGGGTTCGTTTGGCAAGTTAGTTTCGGGCTATTTTAGTCACAAAAGACAAAATAGGCTATTTTAGCCATAACAAACAAAACATCACATCCAACCCATAATTATTACACTCTTTTCTCACAAAAAAAATCAAAAAAGCCAAAAAAGCCCTTCCCAAACCAAGTTTTTTAGCCCAGGCTAAAATAGTAAAAAAAGCCAAAAAATCAAAAAGTCAACCCACTTTTCAAACGAAGGCTATATTTTTTATTTATTACAAAAAGACGTGTAAAAAAATTAAAAAAATAATATAATATAAATTAATTAATAAATAAATTATTTGTGGTGTTACCAAATGAACCCTAGGATTGGTTGGGAAGTAGGTTAGTTTTTTGATTTTTTGACTTTTTTGGTTATTTTAGTCTGGGTAAAAAAACTTGGTTTGGGAAGGGTTTTTTTGACTTTTTTTGTGAGAAAAGAGTGTAATGATTATGGGTTGGATGTGATATTTTGTTTATTGTGACAAAAATAGCCTATTTTGTCTTTTGTGACTAAAATAGTAAAAAAAAAACCCACAAAACCACTTCCCAAACGGTGCATAAATAACCTTTGACATTTCTCTTGTTCTCTTTGTGAGAAAATATATAGAAGTAAAAGTATAAATAAAAAACTA